GCAAAAAGTGATCGATAGGGAAAACGGGTGTTAAAAACATATTTTTTTCTTGTCTTAACTTTGCCAATTAACAACTCCCCTCCCTCAATAAATAAACCCCCATGGTCTTTTAATTTTGTTTTCATTTCAAGCACCAGGAAACTTAGGATATTAATTGCTGTAACATACCTGTTTAATAACGACAATTTATGACTTTTCACGAAAGTGTAGGCTGCTAAACGTTCAACATTTTCAGTATCAATTAGAGTTTTATTCTTCAATTCAGTGAAAACGAGATTAATTGCAAAATGCAAGGTGAATTTTTGGATCTCATCGCTCATACATGCCAATAAATTTGGTTATCATCAGTATAGAGGTTGTGGAGATTATTAAGTTTTTGATTGAGATCATGAACCGATTGATTTTAGATCACCATTGAAAACCTGGAAGCACTGGACGGCCGTTTCTTCCTATTGTGGGACTCCTCAGGAGTGCGCATCCACGGTCCCTCGAGCAGGATGTGTTGACACCATTGGATGCCAGCTCAGTGGTCCAGCGGGTTGAGTGTTCGCGCGCCAGGCCGAAGGCCCTGGGTTCGAATCCCGCGAGCAGGATCGTGGATGAGCACTGCTGAGGGGTCCCACAATAGGACGAAACGGCCGTCCAGTGCCTCCAGGTTTTAAATGATGGTGTACCATCGATCGGGATTTCCTTCTATCATTTTGACATTTTTACACAAAGTTCCCATTTGTCAATATCGTTCTCTTGGTTGCTTCGTTATGTCAAATAAACTTTCAATTATCAGCGAGACTATAATTTATTGCGACTATTAGGCGACACCAAAAGTGAACTTAAGAAAATTCACCTACTTCCTAGGGTCAGAAGAGAATTATAGATTAGTATTGGGAATGAGGATTTGGATTGAGGATTAGAAGTTAGGGTTAGAAATTAGACTTAGAGTTTTGATCGTGAACTGAGATTAACTTTAATGTAGCCAAATGGATGAATGGACTTCGCGCCAAACTCCAACATTGGCTGTCTTTAATTTTATAGGTTCATCCATAAATTATTATCTATCTCAAAGATCTAACGATTATATGCTGTTACGTTTTGGCTGTTATTTTTATTACGATAATTTCAATATTGACTACAATTTAAAAGATAATACTGGTTGTTATTATCTTTTGTTGTTTTGAGCTTATGCGTGCAACTTTTAGGATTTCATTACATAAGTAAATTGAAACATACATATGTGTGTATAGGGATTGTTGCCTAGTGTTACTTAGTTTATGGTTGTCTATTTACCATATTTCTATCTATGTTTGAATACAGATGTATGTATTAACTTAGTAAGCTGTCTGTAGTTTAGCCGTCTATGACAACCGACCTATTGAAGCCTAACAACAGAATCTTGTGCACTTTTCAAATGATATATGGCTTGTAGTTCTTTTTTTTTGATGTTTTTTTCATTATTTAACGAAGTATTTAACTAAACTTATTTTTAGGCTGTGATAAGCCTTGGTATATTAAACACATTTGTATGACTAATATAAAGCGGCATAAAAATAAATTCATTGGAAGAAACAATACACTTGACACTAAACGATGACTCATCTATTCAACCAAATGACATAAGAATTACATTTTTACCATAAATATCGCATTATCAATACATTAACATAAGGTTAGCATTACATGGATAAAATTTCACATTCAAGTCTACACTTCTATGTATTTGTTATCAGTTAAAAATAACTTGGAACTGTACCTGCATTTTGTATGCTCCAAGCTTACTGAAATCTGATTAGGATTCGTTTGATCTACAATTTGGACACAATTTTCCTCTTACCTTAATATTTGTTAATAGTTTAGCCAAATGCAGTTATCAGTAGCTTTATTGTGCATACGTAAAAAACGACTAAATCGGTTATAAAAAAGCAATGTGGTGTAGATATAGTTTCACTGTGTTTCTGTATTATCAATGGTCTTATCCATACTCGAATGATCAGGTTTCATACATTAGAAAACATATAAGTTATTGGTGAGTTTTTACAGAATTAATTTAGGTAAATTTTTAAAAAATTTTACCGCTGTTTTCTTTGTTATTGAAGTTAAACAAAGGAAATGGAAAAATATCAAGTAGAAGCATCTGTTCACAATACTCACTGGCTAGTATTAAAATGAATAATGTTTTCTTTCTTTTAACTCTAACGCTAAATTTTAAGGGTATAACCATAAATATAAAAACATGATAGAGGTTGATTGAATTGTTATCACAATATGTGTTCGATTTGTCTAGATGTGCATTTTTTTCACCTAGGTAATATGAAGATGTAGTATGGCTTACCTTTAATTAAAGTTTGTTTTAATGATGTTTCCTAAATGGATGATGGAAGCGTCACAATAAAACAACCAAATCCAGAAAATACAACTTCGCTAAAATTATCCATCGAAGTTACGAATCTTCTCTACCATTTCAATAAGTAAACTTCAATATCACAAAGATATTTACCTTCTGTTGTCTTTTGATACTTGAAATTTTGCAAAGTGGACAGAAATATTTTGAACTGTTGTAACAACTTATATTTACTGAAAAAGTATACAAATATACATATATTGTCGATGTTTAGTGTAATAAAGCAAAATGACAGATTCTGAGTTTCAGTTTACATTATCTCTAATGAAGGTGCAAGCGTGAACAAAACTAACTTTTTAAAATGTAACTTCTAACCAAAACTTAATGTATAAGCAAATTATATATATATATATATATATATATATATATATATATATATATATATATATATATATATATATATATATATATATATACTTGTGTGTCATCACCGTCCACGTTAGAAGATCCTTTAACTTGATGAGTTTAGAATTCCTATTTATTGGTTGTTAGTTTATGTGACTGACAGATTATCCACTTGATATTGTTTTACTTGAATCTTCCCATTGATGTTTTAGGACTGAAATTGATCAGTCTCTTATTGGCATATGTGCATACTGTGCGTATGCCTCGATATTGCCTTAATTTACAAGCATTATAAGCAAAGATGGATAGTGGCTAGTAGTGCAATCCAGGACGCGCGTTTCGTTCTATTTGAGACTCGTCAGCTAGATGTACCTGCATCTCAGATTTGATGTTCATTCTGGGACTCGGACCCAGTACCATTCTCTTCAAACTCTATCGCGTTATCCACTTGGCTACTGAGTCCTATCTATCTTTGCTTATAATGCTTGTGAATTAAGGCGAATGGAGGCAATATGCATAGTATACACATATACCAATAAGATACTGATTAATTGCAGTCCTAAACATCAATGGGAAGATTCAAGTAAACAATGTCAAGTGAGTTTGGAAATTATATTTGTTTCCTTTATTTCTTACAAATTATCAATTAACATCGAAAGGAAGCTTTAGTTGGATTAAATCTATAAATATCATTTGCCAAATCATTTTTGAAATATCAAAGATTAACTGAATAATCTTCTTTCTATCCTTATAGTTATCTTATTTTTACCATTAAATTATCTATCATGACCGATCAACTCTTTGTTTGTTTTTTATTTTGTGTATAAGGTGATTTTTTAAATTAACTATTATAGTTTAATAAACTAATTCCCAACATTATTCAAGGTTAAAGTATAGTTGACTAGTATTATTTGTCATGGGGGTAATAAGTTTGTGTTTTCTTTTTTCTTTTCTTCGAGTTACAAGAGTGAAATTATAAAAATCTCCAAAATGAAATTGAATATTATTGATTTTTTATTCAAATAAACTTTTAACTTTTCATTTCTATAGAGCAATTAAAAGATGGAGTTGACCGACTCTATCTTCTGATTGCTCTATCGAAATTTATCAAAGGAACTAATTGCTTTAACTTGTTGTATGATATATATGGATAAGCAAGTAACTATCAGTCAACTATTAATCAATCCTAGTTGGATTGTTAAATTTGATTACTATATAGTTTGATACCTGTATAATTGCATGAGTCATATGTCAGAATAATTTAGCAGTACTCATATTTGGTTATCTGGTCTTTTGTTGTTCTAATCAGAATTCTGAAGAGGTAATGATTTTATAATAGTTTATCAATCGTGTGAAAACAATGCAATAAATGAGTTGGTGAATTTATCGTCTGTGACGCAGTCAAATATAAAAGTCATCATTAAATATATTTTTTCTATCACAAAATCAATCTTCAATTTAGGTTTTCATTTGCTTGGAAGTGTCGCATTCTCTAAGCTGCATGGAACGATAGCTAGTTGGTTAAATTATTTAATTTTTACTTAATAAATCACCTTTTGAAACTTTCCTTACACAATTAAACCATTTGAATCAGAGGATTTCCGAAATTTTTCCCATGAGCTTCATATTGTCTTTCTCTTCTCGATTCTCCTTTAGACTTAAGCTACAGAACGGAACCCCTTGAATATGCACAATTAGATTTAGATACTATCATTTTTGTGTTTCAAATTTATTCGGCCTAATTTTTTAAATATCGAATAAGCTACAAATAAATATTATAAATACTATTAAGAAATAAATTATTTACAAAGGTTTGAATAGGTGGCCATCTGGAGTTTTGACACTTTGTGGATGACGGGTCGGCGTTTGAAGCAACAGTTGATGTGTAAACATCAATTCTGCAATGCAGGTACATCCGGCTGACGAGTCCCAAATAAGATGAAACGTGAGTCCTGGGTTCTACTGCTAGGTGCTATCCATCTCTGCTTATAATGTTTGTGAATTAAAGCAATATCGAGTCAATCCGCACAGCATGAACATATACCAATAAGTGACTGGTCAATCGCAGTCCTAACACATCAATGGAAAGATTCAAACAACCAATACAAAATGAATTTAATCTACTGTTTATATAAATCAGTTTGAATTTGTTAAACTTTCTCCTTATTCTTTTAAATAGAAATAATGTTTTTTCAACACCGAAAAAAAGACGAAATTTGTATGTATTATTTTATCTTTTATTCTATATTTCTCTATTAAGGTACATTTTAAAGTACGATTTGATGCAAAAGATTTTTTACCAGAAGATATTGAAGTGACTACAGTTGATAATCATCTACGAGTTCATGCTAAAAAATCAATTAAATCAGGCAATTCAACAACTGTACGTGAATTTCATCGTTCTGTTGATTTACCACGATCAATTGATCATGAAAATTTTCAATGTCATATGACAGAGGTAAGATTAATTTTATTCTTAACATTCATAGTAAAATAGAATTAATTTTTCAATGAATAAGCTTACTTACTTGAATAATTTTTCCTGGTTAGCGTTTTTTCTAGCGAGTTAGTTTTCTACGGGATGGGGTCGCTAACTCCATGCCCGACCCTCCTTCACCCAGGCCTGGGACCGGCAGTAGCCCCTGGAGGGACTCCAGGCGGAGTTAATGAGTAAGCTATATTATATACAAACAAACTGAATAAAATCAATTAACAATAATCATGATATTAGTTTCTGTTCAATATCATTAGAAAATTTAATAAATGGTAATGTGTACAATACACCTTTATTATATACAAATTAATTATTATACCCATAGTAAACATAAAACAGTTTTCAATGTTGATCTGGAAGTGGGCAAATGCATATGGAGAAATTCGAACACTTCACTTCTATCTAAAGTTTGTGCTGATGATGTCGTTTAGAAAAACGATGAAAGCTCCACGACCAAGCCATCCAGCTCAGAGAACAAAACTCTATCAAAAGCAAACTACAGTTTTCAGACTACATACATACTGTGGGTTCTTTTAGAAATGATGTGATTTATAATTAGTTTAGTGAAAAAATAGAATATGTTTGTAGTCGTTAAGGTGGTTAAGATGAATCTCACTCTACCGTATGAGCGGTTTGAGGAACTTACCTACGCTTATTTCCAGAAACCAAGCCCACAAGTAGTCTTTTTGGGACCTGGACAGGAATATAGAAGCCAGACATCAGTGCGGTGATGATGACTAATCACGACGTTTTGGATTATTTCAAAAACTTGAGCCCATAGTTTAGTTTTTTTCACTGATGTGTTTAAAAAAAATTGAAACAACTAATTTTAAACTCAGTTTAGAATAAATAGATCTACAAGCTAATACCAGCTTGAATGAAAACTTCAAATATATAACACTGGGTGAATTTTGTGTCATTTACAGATGGTAACTTTCATAAACAAAAAAAAGTGTCATATGCAGAATTCCACTTTATAGAGTCAACGTGATGTTAAGAATTAGTAAATCTAGAGATCATTGTAGGACTTGTCGATCTTAGTTTGCAACTCCTTATTCATTGTACATTCACAGTTTTACATAGTACTCATGGAGTGGGTCAGTTTCATGGGGATACCACTAGACTGTTTGGTCGAAATATAATAGTTTCCGTTCACAACTTTAGCAATATTTATAAAAATATTCCATTAGGTTGTATAAAGTTTAGATTGTATCTTATCAGTCAATAGTCGATCAATTCATGTTATTTTATTATGAAATTATATTACTGTGTCTTATTTTAAACGGAGTTCAAGGTTGAATTGAACTTTAAAAATACTACTCTATGGAGAACAAACAATAAAATCTATAAATTTTAAACTTATGATAAATGTACTCTAAAAGTTCTGCAAATATTTTATTGATAGAAGTTTTCTAAACAATCAATATTCTTTTATTATGGTTACGAGAATAAATAAGTTCATGAACAATTTGAATGTTTATTATTTTATAACAAAAAGTTAAGGGTAAGCAACTCAACACTAAATAAGACGCATAACTTAATTTATTTTGTAGATAATTACTATGATTACACTATTTTTTAAATATAATATTGATGATTAAATGGGTGAAGAGTTGCTCAAGATCACGGATCTATTGAGGTTGAACTTTAACACTGTTGGATGCTGGCTCAGTAGTCTAGAGTTTAAGCGTTCACGCGCGAGACCTAGCAACCTAGGCTAGATCAACAGCGTAGATGATCTATGTCGAAAATGATTGGAGACCTACTCGAGTTAGACGTGAATGGTGTGACAAACTAGCTAACGTCGAAGTCTCACCTCGTGGTCAGCGCTTTCGTGGACTATCCCATTGACGTATCAAGGTACCATAGATGCCTTGAAGACTGTACAACACAGAGGACGTTATTACAGAAATATATTAGTTAAAGTAGATACAAGCGAAAGTAGGACCACCGCCACATGGGCCAGTCCATGGCATACGACTAACTGATGCGAGTTGGTTGTCCCTGACCTTGATGAGAATCGATGATTTGCTCAATATTCAATGACCCAACTGCCGGATGACTTGGCTAGGGCTTAGTGACATTTCGCTGACCCTACGCTAGATTCGAGTCCCACGCACGGGATCGTGGATGTGCACTGCTGAGGTGTCCCATACTAAAATGAAATGGCCGTCCTGGGCTTTCAGGTTTTCAATGATGGTCTAGCTTAGTTGACTTGTGAATTCAACATTATAAATGGTTTGTGTTACTTTTCTTAATGAAATTTATTAAGAAGTAAATTCAATAACTGAATGACATTGTACAACCCATGATACTTAATGAGATTATAGAATAGTTTCTATATGTTATATTGTGAGTGATTACTACGAAGTAAGTTCTAAATACAGAAATGCCCATCAAGGTCAGGTTGAGTGAGTATTGTAACGTTTAAAATGGAGCTTGATTACTTAGTTGTTTAGTTATAGGAGTATAACTAATATTATGTTAGTTAAGCCTGTGTAACGACGTAATTAATTGGTAGTTTTGTCTTTGTAGTTACTATTCGCATAGGAATGAATATGAACAGCAAGCACATCAAGAAGCAAATAACTTTCATCAGTTGACTAACCCAGTTTGCCAGTTTACATTATATCTCCAGATATCTAATTCGAAGGTCTTTCATTAGATTTAGTTTATAATTTTTATTTTACTTTACTCTTGTTTGCATCAGTATACAGTTTCGTTCACTCGAATACCACTACTCCTGATTACTCTTTTTATACAAGAATAATATTGCATATTCTTACTAAACAGTTGTTTAGAGTCTGTACAGAATCTAAAATTCCTTATTGACTTTTATAAAATGGAACTGTTTCATTGTTTATTACAATTTGTCACATAAATATTGAAATGATAAGTGTTTGGAAATCCTTTCAGTGTTCAATTTTTACAATTTTTTAAAATTTTCAGTTTAGGTTTGTGGAGATTGTTGAGTTTTATTTGAGATTATGAACCGATCAATCTTAGACCAGCATTGGAAACCTGGAAGAGACCCATGTTAGGACGAAATGGTCGTCCCGTGCTTCCATATTTTCAATGGTGGTCTAACATTGATCGGTACATGTTATCAAATTTTATTTGTTTAAAGTACAACTAAATAACTCATACATCCTGCTGTAACAGAATGAACTTATTTCTTTCATTTAAACCGAATACGAACTGAGTGAGTGAAACTAGAGGTTTTCTCTTCTTGACCAATGAATGACCAAGCCCATTGAAATGGGTAATTTAAGATGAAGTGTTCAAGAAATTTTGCCTAAAACGATTCTGTTTACAATTTTAATAATCTTATATGAATCCGTTATGTATAATTGGTTTAGGTAGTTTCCATCTGTATGCATAAATTTACTCATGTGTGAAGTTTCACTTTTAAACGTTGAGGCTAAATAACAGTCATTATTGAAAACTGCCTAGATATTCTTTGTATAATAATGATAGTGATAATAATGGTAATAATAATGTTTGTATGTATGTATGCATGTGTGTATGTAATCGTTTCTTTAAGAACTATACTACTTTGTATGAACTTCAGTGTGATGAACAGAAATGACTGTAATTATAGATAAGGGATAACACTCTTTAGCAGGTATTGATTGCTAACACAAAACATGGCTACTACAATCCATTGTCACACACGCATACAGAAAACGGTACTATGATTACAAGTCTTTCAAGTGTAGAAGAGATATGTATGTCATTCACCAATAGACAACACTGTACAGAAAACAAGTTATCTCAATCTCCTGTAAGATCTGATAAATCAAACTGACTAAACCTTCGTTTGACACTCGAATGCGATATGAAGTCAGCTTTTAATGAATAGAGTTGAAAATCTCAATGATAATCTTGGAGGGATTTTAGACTGACGTAATTAGTTATGGTTAAAATAATAGGATTCATTGTAAAACTAAACATTCTACTTGTACGGTAGAAATATGAGTGATGAACTAGAAAACCATTGAGCTATCGGATAGCTGTGTTCTCCCTAGTTTAAGACTCTTCAACACCACGTACAAGAAAATCTGTAAGTGATCATGATCACGAATAGGATATCACAGGGTACAATATCGTTGAGACACTGAATTCGGATCCAAATGGCCTGAGTTTTCAGATTTAGTTAATTAGCGAAGTAGCACATTTTTCACTCAACTACAGTTAAATTGAGCAAAATCTCTCTTGAAATTTGCCTTGGATTCAGGTTTATAATAATTAAACAGTTCATCGACAATGGAAATGTATATTCTATTCCACTCTAATCTATTGTCAAGTGTTGTTTATCAAATTTCTACCTTCATAATTTGTTTGAATAAAGTATCATGAGTCTGATAGTGTCAATTCAAAAACTGACCGGTTTATCAGTGTATTAATACTCTTATCAATGATTTCGTGGAACCGTTGATTTAAAGAAAATACAACAAATACAATTTCCATTTTAAATAGTATAGGATTATTCAGTAAATGGAGTTATAGTGTTCAGCATCTTTAAATACTAAAAAGTGAACGACTTATTTCACAAGTACTTAATATTGATGATTTTCTCTAGCTGTTATTCGTATCTAAATATTTCGCTCATTGCTGAGATCGACAAAACATATGCTATCAGTCATTTTGGACAATGGTCGAGTAGCTAAGCCACTTGATTCGTGTCAGAGGCCTCACCAACCATAGTAAATTTCGTTTCTTATTGTGCTGATGTGAGGCATGACAAATTGGACCGAATGACAAAATCGTACAAGGTTCCACCTTGTTTATAACTTATAGATTGATTGTCTGTGAATTCGTCCATTGAAGATATTGTAACCAAGTAATTTTCGTAATTGGAACACTAGTAACTTAACATATTTCGGTCATCCTACCTTTACACCCAGATGCTTTTTTTTAGATTCATTTTAAGATACTTATTTCAAGAACAAGCACTTACAGTTTTCTCCTTTTACACACAGTTTATAAATTGTTATTTGAAACTCACTTTATTGATTTGAATTTCTTATTATTAACAGGATGGTGTATTGATACTAGATGCACCTGTTAAAGCTCCTGACTATCGAACAATCACATTTCAAGATGATCGTCAACTTGGCATCCGACCACGTGCTGAATCTGAGATAAAAGCCACTCCTAATAGTAATAAAACACCAGTCTGTTTAACTGTAACCGGTTAGTTGCATCACTATGATTCTATATTTTATTCTGAATTTTGCTAAATCATTGCTGCCCAGTATTATAATGAAGAGGTCTTAGCCTCAACTTATGATATGACTTTATATGATATTATTGATATCGAAAACAACTCTTGGTTAAACAGCCAGTCATTCTAAGGGAAACAATGAGTTCCTGTCAAACCATATGTTTCGTCTAGTTACTATTTATTTAAACAAGAAAGAAACTGTTGTTCAATCATGATTATATGGATAATTTCAAGCTCTGTTTTACAAGTAGGGCTATGAAACAAGTGGTTGGTGAATTTCTGAATTCTAGCATATTTCCAAAATAATTTATACATTATGTGAATATCATTAATAAACTAAAAGCATTTGTTTTCGGAGTCGGTTTGACTACGCGATTAATAGCGATTTAATTGATTAAAAACCTTTTTAGACAGTGAACAACTAATCATTTAATATATTCTTAAAGAATTCATCCATAAATACTTTCAAGGTATTAATTACTTGATGTAATAAGCCTTCATCAAAAGAAATGGTAAGAAAGTTTTGTTTACTACATTGATCCACTAAAATCTATGCAGCCCAACTTTAAAGAATTTCTCGACATGTTTGAATGTATTACTACTGCTGGGTCAAGAAACTGTTATAGCCCATCAAGGTATTGACTGGTTGGTTTGAGATGTACAGAAAAATGACCATTACCAATAGTTTAAAATTAATTGCAATGGTACTTCATCATTCTTCTAATTCTTAAACATTATGTTTTATATGTCTTCCATTCTCGAACTTTTTTCTCAATTCTTCCCACCTTCCTTACTTTTTGTTGGCTTTTCACTACTATCTGTGTTATAGTTTTCAGTCGTTTTTGTTCTTCCTTGATGTGCTGATTAAGAGATATGAAAAATTATAATTTATAAGATAAATCTACATGTTAATTCCTACTTTTCAGAAATTGTGACTCATAACTATGACACTACATTTTATCATTACCTTAAACATTGAGATTAGTGATTTTCAGTCAACTTAATTTTTCCAAAGCCTTAAAAGATAAGTTATTGAATTCATTCACTTCAATTTACATTTCTCACTTCACATTTTGTTGTGTGGCTGGGTATATCAACCGTTCGATTCAGTTTCTATTCAAGTGTGTTCAACAATATTTTCATGCTAAATTAAAAAGAGGCAAGAATGAATACATAAGAAACTCGATAGTACAACATTTTGCTAATACTAACCATTCAACTAAGACTCATAGTTGAGCGTTATTTATCATACATATTGAATAAAAAGCATTGAGATTTTACTTCCCATTGATAAATCCATTACCATACATACATAAAGTTCCCATATACGTATTCGTAAGAAAATTCTCTAACTTTACCTATTATTATTGAAATCTCTTGTTATCCAAATCAATCAGCCTTAACTTTCTTCTTGTACTCTGTTAACCTGTTGTCTTAAATCAATGTATTCATAATTTAATAAAAAAATAAGGCGGTTCTTTTCATTCATCCTCAATTTAGTTTACATATTCTTTTCTATGATAGAGTTTTAACATGTTTTTCTTCTTCTATTTGTTCATGTGTTTATTTGGTTGAATGAATTGATTTGCAAAAAAATCAATTTATTGATTATTTCATTTTTGCGGTTTTTATTAAAATGTAAATTAACTAGTTGTAATTATATACGTGTAAACAACATGCATACAAACTCATTAATCTTTAAACAAAAATGCAAAATTCTTCAATATGAATCTTAAATGAAAAACATAATTAATCACACTTTATTTAACAAAATACATTTAAATAAGATCACCTTTATATTATATGTATGTAACTGTTGGGACGGTTTTCGAGAATTACGACGGAGTCTCCAGAGGTCCTAAAAGAGTTGAAGAGTTTCCGTCCAATCAGAACATGATGGAGCTTTCTAGAATATCAATGTGGCATGCTACAACTGGATAGTAGCATAACTTGCCTCTTTGTGGCTGAATTATGATGTTCATATAACAAATGCTAATATCAATAAATACCCTTGATTTTCTGTACATTTTGATTTTTACCCAACAAATAATTTTCCGATTTTCTCCTGTCTTTTAATTTTGGGACTGTAGGGTTCGGTACGTTTGAGTGCCGTAGTTGCATACCGTATGCTGCGTTGATTAAGTAGCGAACATAACAATAACATTGTCTTTTTTTAAGTATATTTTTTTCTTAATAAGTCTGGAAATTATTCATCATTCAAATCCACTTGGTGTTGATTTAATTGTATCTTCCCATTGTTATTTAGGACTGCAATTGATTAGTCTTTTGTTGGCATATGTGAATCCTGTGCGAATTGCCTCGATGTAGCCTTAATTCACAAGATTTTTAAGCAAAGATGGATAGTGGCTAGCAGTGGAATCCAGAACGCGCGTTCCGTTTTATCTGGGACTCGTCAGCTGGATCTATCTGCATTCCAGAGTTGATGTTCATTCCGGAACTCGAATCCAGTACCGTTCGCTTCAAACGCTGTCGCGTTATCCACTTAGCAACTGAGTCCTGATAGCCACCTGCTTGTGCAATGAGGTAAAGTTTAAATTCACTAGGTGTTATTTTACTTGTAACCGGTACATCTAGCTGACGTGTCTCAAATAGGACGAAACGCGCGTCATGGATTCCACTGCTAGCCACTATCCATCTTTGTTGATTCGTTATTCAGTTAAGTTGTTAAAATAAGATAATGTACACCTCTGGAAAATATTTAAATTCTTTATTTTAAATAAAAGTATTTTAAACCAAATTATCTAATTTACTGAATGGATACTTAAATGATGTGAGTATACGGAATATTTATTTCCTTGAATAAGTCTTGCTAGATACTTATTTAAGTTGTAATAAAGTATAGTTTTATTGGATTATTTACACTGATATAATTATCTATTGATTATCCTTGTATTAATACTTCAATTGAAACTTTTTCAACGTTTATTAAAAGATGAAAAAGAATTGGTTTTCATCGGATTCCTAGAGTTTTCTTATCTATTTATTTATAATGAGATTAAAATTTCTCTTTCTTTTTTTTAAAAAAAAGAAGAAAACATTGTCCTGGAAACAAAATTATTATCAATGCTGTATTAATTTACATTAGTAATTTTATATCTGATAATTTTGTACCGATATTTATTTATCAGATCTATTATGAAAGGAAAGAATGTGTACAAAGTCAATCGTAAACAACATAAAATCTGATACAAATATGTATCAGTAAAATGTTGTTACACTCCATTACATCATTACAACAACATTAAAATTAGGGATACGATACAATCAATTGATATGTTGTTATCTTTTGAAATTTTATCTAGGTTGTTCTGAACCAACAATAATGAAAGATGGCATCAATGGAAGAAAACTACATCTTGAAGTCACTGTAGATCCAATTTATAAAGCTGATGAATTATGCGTTCGTATGGATTCTAATCGTATAGTTATAACTGGTTGTCAAAAGAAAACTGACGCGAAATCAACTTCCACTGCCGAATTCACTCAGTCATTTGAAGTTCCTGAAACAGTAGACCCATTTTCAGTTACTGCTCAATTGATTGGAACAACACTTGTCGTTGAAGCGCCATTATTATGCACAGTTTAGGTTGAGTAGGAAAAAAACTCAATTCATCATGAATCTTTTGTGTGTGCGAAGGAGGGTTGGAGAGAGTGAGAGAAAGGGAATGAATAACATGTGTTCTTTATAAATAAAATGTTTTTGTTAGTGATACCTTAATGTGTTACACCACACAACAAGTGTGTAGTTATTTTGTAGGAGGATGGGAATAACTAATTCTTTAATGTTTTATTTGCTTTTATTCAAATGTTATTGCTACATCACTTTGCTATTACAATTAATGATTTTCTACATCTAATCAATAATGACTGTCAATCATGAGATTGAAGTGCTTTTATTCTCAAAAAAAAATTTGTCCAGTGTTTTCCATTCTAAAAATGATCCAAAACTGTTTTATTTATCAGTTAACTTTTTCTTCAACCCTTTTTATATGTTTATTTTTATCTCCAGTTTATGCGTTATGTCTTCACTGTTTCTTTTTTGCTACTTTTCCAAAGATGAGATGAGAAGGTAGTTATGCTGTTTATCTTATTATTGTGAAATTTATTTATTTATCTATACATAATTAACATTTTCGCATGCAATCATTCGTTCTTTAATGGTTACATTATTTTACTATGTAAAACGGAAATTTTTTGCTTATCATATCATTTTTCTGAGAATGTATGAGGGAAATATGTATACACTCTAGTTGTTTTTTAAAAAAAAAGTACTGGTGGTTAATACAAGGAAGATGGAGGTGACTATGTGCACTATCACTACTATGATTATACCAACATTAATAATGTTCATTTGGTTAGCCTATTCATAATGCTTAATTTCAACTAATAAACACTTTTTAAAAGATTGAATTTATTCTTGTTTTGCTTTACTGCAATATAAATCCTAATGGTTTGTGCTGACATTGTCAGGAGTAGTCATTTAAAACAGATTGTATATGATTTGGAGTTTTTTGTAATGTTCTTGAACAGGATAATCAATTTGAACAGTAATTTCAGAGTTATTTTTCTGACATCAGAACAAAACCTATTAAGATATTTTCACATCATTGAGTTATGTCTCAATGATATCATGGATTTTAATTTTAATCGATTTATGACGTAACCCTGTTACCGACATATCCTGTCATCCTGATAGGAAAATGGGGAGAGAGTTGGTCTGAAAAAAATTTGATGTATTTTAGCTATACATTTCAAACAATCAGGTCACACAAATACTTATCAAGGCATTTTATATAAATAATTGATAAAGATCAATTAAATGAAATCTTAGGTAAACAAAGTTATAATTATAACAATGGAATCCAGTATTCGTGTTTCGTCCCATCTGGGACCCGTCAGCTGGAGTAGATGTTCACTCGGGAACTCCAACCCAGTACCGTTCACTCCACACGCCATCGCGTTTTCAACAGGATGCACATATGCTAATAAGTGACTGGTTAATTACAGTCCTAAACATCAATGAGAAAATTCGATCAAACAAAAAAAGTTATAATTCTTAGTAAAGAGGGGAGGGAATTAATATCGTATAGAAACAATAGCGAACTGTCAGTTTCACGTCATTTTCGGTCAGTTACTGTTATATTATCATAGTTTTATTCAGGAATTTCAGTCAGGCTGTAATTCGAGGGTACAAATATGACATATTTTATTCCAGTTGGAAATAAGAATAGAATTAGTTACAATACTATACACACACTGACAAGATAATTGTATCCTATCCCTATGGGTGTGTGAATGCATTTATCATAAATACACAAACCGTGTTCGCGTACGAAATAAAGGTATTGATATCGAGATATACATGTACATGTTTACCTAAACAATTTAACAGAAAAGATAGTAGTCTAGTTAATTGATTGGGAAATGTAAAACATGAAGGACGACCGAAATATCACATTCATTATATTGTAAATGAAATTTCACAATAAATATTCCTAGCAAAAGAACTGAAAAAGGTAAATATGTTTCACTATTTTTAGAATTAGTTTTGACATGTCACATTTGATCGAAATTTTATTCGCATAATCGTACATCTATGTGTGTATATTATTTGTAGGAAGACAAGAGCACTCTGAACAAATAGATAAGTACAACACTACATAAAAGAAATGTTCAGGTGCTATTATTCGTAATACTTGGAAGATTGTGTCCTTCCTCTTATATCTATGGGCAAACAAGTGAATGTGCTTCCTTATCATGATATTTATATCTTTACTCTTCATACAAGCGTGGTTTGTGTATTTATGATAAATGCATTCACACACCCATAGGGATAGGATACAATTATCTTGTCAGTGTGTGTATAGTATTGTAACTAATTCTATTCTTATTTCCAACTGGAATAAAATATTTGTCATATTTGTACCCTCGAATTACAGCCTGACTGAAATTCCTGAATAAAACTATGATAATATAACAGTAACTGACTGACAATAACATAATATGTGGCTGATAGTGTTATATCACAAATTGATTAAAGTTGAAAGTTGTGATACCATTGAGATGTCTTAGTTGATGTGAAATCCAAATATGTTGGGTTTGATCGTGTGTGTGTGTTTGTGTGTGCTAAAAGATACACACTACTTGGAAGTCTCAAACTATGGTGTAAGAGTTACTGTTCAGAGCTCACCGTTTTTCTATGATTTTTAAACTTATCTTTGTTCAGTTTGTGATAGAAAGTCTCTTTAAATAGTCTTTATTTGTTAGATGTGTAGCTGGTGGGCATGATAGTTGTTTGGTTTAAGAAGTAACACCCACTCAGTTCTGAATATTAAGTTCTCCATTTTCCTTGATAGATATTTGTTTAAAATAGAAAATGAACTTAAATGGTTTTTGCTTGATCGATATGTACGTCATTGTACAACGCAATCACGCTATTGGGTCAGTCGATAAACGTTAACTAGGAGAATAAAGAACATACTCTAGATGAGAGAAATGTCAAAAAATGATTTTAAAATATGTATTGGATAGGAATTTTGATGAATAAGTCACATCAATAACGGTTATATTTCCATCAAATTAAACGTTAGTCAAAACTGTTTATACAGGTCTCAAATAAAATTATTATTTATTATCAATGAGTAATATTTTAATAGAGTATTTGAAAGACAATTGGTGTCAAATTAATAGTTTTGTATTTGAACATTTGAATAGTTCTATTCAGTTAACTTTACAATAATTCTATTTCAAAGGAAACTCACATTTGAAAGTATGATACAGGTACTTTACTTTTTACCTTAAATAATCCATTCAATTTATTTTTTAGCTGGCTTTTTTAAATTACGATGATGTGTAAGATTGTACCTCTGGGGGAGGATTTTGGAAATGACTTATTTTCTGAGCTGGATTATCCAATCGTGAAGCTTTCATTGTCTTACTAAACAACACCATCAGGACGTATTTCGAGAAGAAGAGGGCTATTAGTATTTTTTCACAACTAATTAATCGATTGTTATATCAACATAGAATTTGATTGGTTTTTGTTCATAAATATATTTTCATTGTTTGGACATTTATTTTGAATTTCTTCTCTTGTGGACTGGTTTTTTATTAACAGAACAAAGTGTTAGTCAAAAATCCGATAGTTCATTTTATTTTGAGGTATATAATGACGATTCTGTGCATCCCGTCCCAGTACGTTTCCTGTTTGAATGTCTTCTCATGGACCTATTAGCTGTGTTCGTTAATAGAACGTCCGAAAAGGTTATCTTAACTTCACTTTCTTCGTTTTTAGATGCAAACGTAATGGTTGGTTGTATTTTGATAAACTGCCTAAGAACCTCATATTGTAATGTACTGTCTTTATAGAGGATGAACATTTCATCCATATATCGACAGTAAAATGTAAATTGTTGAATTAACTGATGAAGGCGTCAGTATAAATCATTCTTTGTCAATGGTTTATCTGGTTAGTGATTTTCTGCTAAAGTTTGCTAAAATCATAGTCCTTCAAAGCGCAAAAGCAAATGTCATTTAGACTAAAACCCGCAACTATGTATAAAAATGAAAAAAATATATACAATCCATTCTTTAATCTTGGCCAACCTTAGGGACAATTAATCTTAACTATAGAATGACCTGATTTGACTAATATACATACAACTTTTCTTAGTCAAATTTAATCGTTTTTGCTATCTTTATTCACATGTCTTCGTATTATTCTGATCAGTAATTTCACAACTTCATATAAACTTCACTTTTTTTTTGAAGTGCAAATTCCTCTGTCATTTAAAGCAATTAGTCCCTTTGATGGATTTCAATAGTGTAATACTAAGACGAATATTATCAGAACTATGTGATATATTAGCTCAATACATTTCGAACAATCTAATCACACATACACGTGTTAAGAACATTTATATATAAAAGTGTAAAAGGGTGTATACTAAGGTTTATTGAAGCCTTAGTCATACGAAAATTCAAACCCCCTTTGTGTATTCAAAAACAGTTTGTTCTCACATTAAACCTACCCTGGTTAGGTTTCAAATTATGTTCACATTATTATTACTACTCTTATTATTAACCTTGTCTCCTCTTACCCTCCATTTCTAGTCTAGTTGACCTGTTATTTTTATATATAAATGTTCTTAACAAGTATATGTGTGATTAGTTTGTTCGGAATGTTTTGATCTAATATATCACATAGTTCTGATAATAATCGTCTTCTTATGACATTATCGAAATTCCTGTCATTGTTATATCAGTCTTTTTATTCTTTCTATTTATTAGTCCATAATTTTTTCATAACAAATCAAATTATTCTGACCTTTATTAAATGATCTTTCTAATTTATAAATAACACAATTTAATGTCGTAACAGATGCAAACATTCACCTATTTTTTCAACATATAACATTGTCGAATTCATTCATACATACTGTATTTTGATCTTTGTAAAGTATTACAATAGTGATAGACTTATAATTGTAGAGCCTAATGATGAAATGATTACAAAAGAAATTGTTTGCTCAAAAAATTCTGTTTTTTTTTTAAATATTCTAGGGAGTTTTCTAAACTACTGAGATTAAGATATTTGGAAATTTCCATCTATTAACGAAATGCGCATCCACGATCCCGCCCCCCTCGAGATCCGAACCCAGGACCTACCAGTCCCGCGCCAGGCGCTTAACCAACTAGACCACTGAGCCGGCATCCAACGGTGTTAATGTCTAACTTCAACCAATCCACGAAGTTGCGTCACTGTACACCGTTGTCTTCAGTGAGCTGATATCTCACAACAGACCTGGTTGTACTCCATTGGTAACGACTTCTCACTAGAACTCCAGGAGTATCTCCTGAAGTCAGTCACTAGTGAGCAGGTGATTATTATCAGAATGGTTTAACTTTTATTTGTCTTAAATATTATGATTATAATGATGAAATATCATTGTATCATTAGTCGAAGTATTTTGCTAATGATAAATTTGAGTTTATATAGTCTATGAATAATAATATTAAAGAAATGGATGCATTTGTTTCGCTG